CAAAAAACATTGATATCATAAAAAGTCGCGAGTCTCTGGCCTTTTCCCCCGCATTCTGGCGTGACAGAAATGGCACACTTTGCGTGTGAGCTGATACCAAATGCCAGAAGGCATCGCATGGATCACTTGGTCACAGAAATTGCTTTTTACCATTTATTCAAGGCACTTGACTAATGACCAACTAACCTGTTTTTGATGACTGATTCATTAATCAAGTGATATGCACCGAACTACTACTTTATTTTCAGGTGTGGAGGCATGGCGATCGTACACCACTCAATCCTTATCCTACAGACCCCTATCTACCGGTACTGGAAGCAATGGCCAAAGGGAGAACTCACTTCAGTGGGCAATTCGATTTATTCTGTCTATTCGGAATTTTGATTCAATATCTTAAGTCATAGCGGGAAAGTAGTCATAAGTTTTTTTTTCTTTCAACATCCTTTGCATTTTGACGACTCCTACGATTTATCGCACTTATATCACTCCTCACATTTGTCATGTACCTACGGCGAAGTCAAACGATGCCCACAGAGAACAGAATAGTTGGCGCTAATAACCATGGATGGACTTTGAAAAGACTCCCTGTGCGAACTGAAATACTGTAGAGAAGATGAGCACTTTAGCCGAGACCTAGAGGGAAAGGAGCTCTAGGATAGGTGAAACAACTTTCGTACGGGGATTTATTCGGATGCCGATAGTTCTAGTTTTGCGTAGTCCTTCGAGCGCATAAGGCACCCTGAAGTGGTATATGCTCAAATGTAGTGGCAGGGGTGCTATATGGCGGCAAAATGATGACAAAGTGAAATTAAACAGTCGAGAACCTGCGAAAAAACTTTATCCTGTGGGGCTTTAAACGAGTATACAGTAATATTTAGTGTTTGTACGAGTTCCCCGTTGGCATCGTGCCAACAAGCGCTTCTATTGAAATGGCTGCAAATGACAGCGACAATACTGCTAGAGTATATACCATTTGCTGGCGGCGGTTTGGCGTCAGCATGTGACCATGGTTAAAGCAGATTGCCACGAAAATCCCCCAAGAGACTTAGGCATTTAATACGCCAAGTTAGGCCAGAGATCGGCGACCCTAATCCAGCGCCACGTAGCCGCTTTTCGAGGGAAAGTTTCCATTATAAAGCCCTATCAACTTGGAAGCTAATCGACGGTGGACACGCCCACGCGCCTCGACCGCCACAAAACCGACCGTAGTGATGCTAGGTATCTGTGCTTCATTTGCCTAAGTCTAAATAAGAAGCGAGGAAAATAAGAATTGAAGGGAATTAGTAGGAAGCGGGAAAGCATTTCTCCGCAGTTTGCTGACCATTTCACTTCGTTTTTTCGCCATTTATCCACTATATAGCTTCCTGCTAGCATTTTAGGCGGAGTAACAAATCTCGCGCCATATGTCTTGAAGCACTGTAACTGCACCCTTGGTTGAACAATTTGCCTGATCATTAGCACCAAATAGTTTGGTAAAGAATTCAGACGAATATGAACGTCGCTGGGGGAATACTTTACAAATAGCTTGCGTTGACTGATGGTTTATGCAACCCGGGAAGCCGCTGACTTGAACGTTGCTGTCTAGAGGGTGCTGCGTTTGTTGCTCTCCAGCTGCTGCTCGCTTCAGCAGGTCAGCAGGTCGAAACATTGTGAAGGTGGGGCGTCAAGCACTTTGTTCCCTTTCTACGCCAGAGATTACACTGAGGGACAATTACTTTTGTAAAGGCACCAATCGACGTATCTTGCTCTACTGATAAAGTAGCAAAAGCATACTTTCGAGTGTGGCCAGCATATCAGCATGAGCTTTTCTTCACCTCTTCTTGAACTTTTTTCAGATTGGAATGCAACAACATTACACGCAAGGAGTGAAACTTCGGCAAAGATATTCTGGCACTTATGGATTGATCAACAAAACGTTTACTAGGGAGGAGGTATGTCAAAGTTGGGAAGCATTCACGCTTCGATTCTTAGACCGCGTGACTGCAACCGAACATCGCCATTCTGGACCACTGCAACTGTCAAGAGCAGTTTTCCGATGTGATTCTGCGGAAGAGCTGTCGTAGTGTCTAAAACGATAAGCGCTGGAGCGTGATATGTCGCAGTACCGCTGAGAAAATGCGGGAGTGAATTATTCCAGCTGCGAGCTATAAACACAGTTTCAGAATTTTTGCAAGATGCTGTGCAATCACTGCCGAAGGAGGTCTCATATTTTCCCATGACAGATCTCAATCGTCTCGTCCGTCGTTCCTCGATGCATCCAAAGCGCTGCTGCTAACTTCGCTGGTTTCTATGCTGAGTCTCAAGGAACGCATCCAGTAGATGGTTCGTGGCCAAGTGGATGGACACCCGTGCCCATCATTACCGTCCCAATACTCAGGACCACGTTAGTAAGGCGGCTTCTGTATAACTGACAGCTACGAAATTGTGAATTTCAGACACTTGAACCAAATAAGGAGTGCCCTCGCGAAGATGAGTTGTTTGCTGCTAGAATAGCCAATGAACAGTTCGTGACATGGTGGGCTGAACATGCGGTGAGTATAAGGCAGTTTTCAGATTTTGCGACGTGGTGCTTTACAGCGCGTCAGCGCGCGGAGCAGCGCATAGCGTGTAACGTGCGACGTCGCGAAGTCTGCTCAACTGCAACGTTTGAGTTGGTTTTGATGAAATTCACAGTGGCCAGTTTCTTGCGTTGAGGGTCTGTACAGTTGAAAAGAAGTCACTTGAGAGATTTTACCTTCGTCAGCAGGGAGACGGCTGATTCCTGTTCAGGAGAAAAATATCAGTTCTTTGGAGCTACATCTTGCAGGTCGTCTCACCTCCACTCCATTACTCCTTCAGTTTTCCCGTCAGTTTTCTTGATAATCAGATTATCTTGATATTTTCTTGATAATTAGACTCAAATTTCCATCTGAGCACCAGTTCGTAATCACCGCTGTAGGCTGGTACAGGCCTACCACAGGCTTGGATTAATTCTTATGACTGCTCCTCCATCAGAACTAGGTGGATTTCTCAGATTTGGCTGGAAACTCTTCTGTAGGCTTGTTCGAGTTGCTGGAAAAATCTGAAAGCCTTCGTAGAGTGCTCTTACCACGCTCAAAGACTTTCTTGAATCACCATTGCTGTGCCCTCCCATTACAAAGTCTAGGAGAATCTTCCCATGCGAGAAATTGTAAATGTTGTGGTCCTCATGTTGGTGACTACTCGACCTACATATTTTTTAGGAAAATTTAGTGACCTGTATCGTTCTAACGCTACACCTGATGGGAAAGAGCATCGAGAAGAACATCTACAGGGGGGGGGGCCGGGGGGGCAAAAAAAGTCACTTCGAACCGAGTCACATATCAGCAAAGTTTTTGCAGCCCAGACAAAAGAACGTGGATACGAGTACCAGGGCGGAGGATACCCAAGATGTTTCCTTGCTATAAGCAAGGAGTGGCTCTCGCCATCACCTTCATGTACAACCAAAATATGAAGTCATCTCAGCCGTTAACCTGGACTGGAGAAGGACTTCGGGACTCATGTCACCTCCAAACAGCTGCGAAACTTCTAGTGTGGAGTCACCCATGGGTAGCTACCTGGAGACTAGTATTCTCAATATGGAAGACTCCAAGATCGAGCAGCTCGAAGGAGGCGGTTTATGGTATGGAACGCAGGTACCTGCGATTGAAGAACCAATATTTTCCTCGTGGACCCGGACTGAACGTGAGCGCAGTTACATTTGAGCAACTCGTGAAGAAATATCTCCTCACATGCCGTCGCCCGTACCTTCTTTGTACTGCTACACCACTGGGTGCCGCCACGTGGAATCCTAAAAGTGCGTTGCGAGAAACTCTCGCCTACTGTGAATGGAAGGGGGCTGAGTACCTAAAGAAGATGGTAGTATCAAGTAGGTCATCGGGTGAATCCTCTCAATTATCCGGTTTGGGCGGAGTTCAATAGGGTGATCTACGTGGCGAGAAATCGACTATCTCGGCTGATCTCAGGCACCACATCGCGGTCGCCGTGCACTGAATCTTCTCGCAAGGCTGCTGGCGGAGTTTAATAATATCATTCAATATGCTCTTTAATATGATGGTAGAAAATGTCCCGATTAGAATTTATAAAGTGTACGCCTATAGCGCCACGAAATTTCAATGTAAGAAAAGCGACTTTTTTTTGCCCCCCCCCTCTATATTTCCAGTCGAAGTACTCGTCCCGCTGATATGGACACAGGCTTTATTTCAATCTCTCAGAGAGCGTTTGTTGAGGCACATCCCTTGTAAATGGCTGGTTCGCCCAGGACTCCTCGTGAGAATCTATGAACAGCAGGCTCGGGTAAAAAGAAAAGTGGAGAAAGTTTGACGTTACAGACATTGCGCCGAATGAACGGTGCAGGCCTCTAACCAAAACCTTGTTTGGCCTCCTTCCACCCTCAAATACATATAATCTCATATGATTGCATGGGATGGATTGAAAACACTTGATATTGTACGGCAGACGATTCTTAAAGCGGAGGACGTTTCTCAAGCTGCCCAGCGCGTTTGCAAATAAGGAAGAGGATTCCGACTAAATGCATCAGTGAATTCCCCCTTATTGTAGCTTGTCATTATGAGTAAATTTATGGTGTGGTATATGTTTTATTTATGAGTAATTTGAATGGTAGAGATATCTGGCTTGTTTAACGTGCCGCAGTTTGCGCTGCCGAAGCTTAGTCACTAAGAATCTGGGTTTATGAGCAGATGTTATCTCCGCTCAGGCCGGGGTAGCCGAAGCGCGACCTTTTCGAGTGCGCCATCCGTTTTCACCACCTTGATCGCCTTTTAGCTCTAATGGTTTTTGTGCCCTTGACATTAGAGCAGTTTCATCGGTCGTCTTTGAGGTTTGTTTAAGTGGCCTCATAGTCGACACTTACGTTATCGAAAAATGGCTTGCAATAGGGTATGTCGTGTGTAAGAGACAGTATCTGGCAAAGGAATCTAGGCAAGGAGGATACTCGGTGCATTTGTAATGGCCGTTCATTTTCAGCCAACTCTTATTGCATTGCTTAAGGAAAACTCTGGTGAAGCGGTTCACAGACTTCTTCGCGTCTCGGTGATTCTTTCACGACTGCCGTGCGAAATTGAGGTGTAAGCATTACGTTGCTACAGTGTTTCCTAGCAGGCAGGCTCAAATGACTGAAACTATAGGTTTGGAAGGAAATCCTGTCAGTGTTTTTCAGATAGCTTACAGTTTTTGATCTTCGACAGCTCGAACATGACGTAACATGCTAAGCACGTTGTAGATACATTTTGCGAAGGCTTTTCCACAAGAGTAATATCAAGGCCTCTGCTCTTCCCTGTGTTTTTAATTGATGTCAGTTTCACTGGAGCAGCTTCCGAGTGATCATCTTCTATGAGTGGCGCGCAGCACTGGAGCGACGGCAGCGGTCCGTAAATCAACTGTGCATTGGGAGAGGACACCACCGCGTCAGGACTGTCGCACCGTTTGCGTTCGCTTCGCCCTCGCGAAAGGAAGAGACGATCTTCGAAAGACAAAAACCTCGTCTGGGACGGCCCTCGCGGCGTTGAAGATTCCGCCGTTCTGGAAGCCTGTCATGAGAGGATCCAGAGGCTACCGACGCGCAGTATTGCGACAAGGCTTAGGGATGTAGCTATACAACAGGCTCTTGAGCCGCCTCCAGGCCTTGGCTACAGAAAAGTCATCACAGCGGTAGATACCTCATGGTCTAACAGATGGCACGCGGTTATGGCCAGGGTGAGCATTCTGTCGATCCTACTTCTACACCGTAACGGCGGAAGGTAGTTTCTGGAAGATATTGTGACAGGAGATGAAAGCTGGTCCTCTATGCATTCCAACCTACGTCGTGCCATGTAGCTCCCTCCGAGGAGAAGATCGCCCTACCGCAAGCCAGCGTCAAACCTGCACTCCAAGGAAGGTCCTGCCTGTGCTGCTTCTGGATTATCGAAGGCCATGCTTGCACCACGAGCTGCTTTCCGGCAAGGGATACGTTTACCGCTAGCCGGTTTACGAGCCACCCAACTCCAGGAAACTACGCGCAGGCTCTTCGAGAAAAGCGGTGAGACGAGGCTTCGTGCGACCTCCTCCATGATAACGCCAGGACCACATGTGGCCGAAGGAGACACACCGACAAATTGAGGGAGCTAGGCTGGGAGACCGGTTCCCATCCATCCATATTCCTAGACCTAGCCGCCCTCCGACTACAACTTGTTCCGCTCCCTCAAGGCTTTCCTAGGCTAAGTAAAAACCTTCAGCCGACAATTGAATGGGCATCAGTCGAGAAGGTTGCCTACGTTCTCCGACTTCCGCAGCCTTCCTCAAGTTCTGGGACAAGTGATTAGCTGAGTTGCAACGCATTTTGCGAGCACTGTAGTGAGCTAACAATGGCGATTATATTATTACATCTACGTTTTATTTTCATGTTGGGTTAGAAAATAAAAAGTAAAAAAATCACAACAGTGACAGACTTTCTTTCCATACCTAAGTGTTTGCTTTTTTTGTGAATATATTACCACTTTTCACACGCCCAAACCAAATTCCATCCTTTTTCAAATCAAATTCACCCATTTTCAAAGCCAGAATTCACCCTTTTTAAAGCCGAATTCACCGCTCACTTTTCACATCAAATATAACCACACTTAATCAGGGCGCGGGCAACTCATAAACCTATCACGCGCAGACATCACTGCAAGCCCCCGCCCCGACGGCCAGCCCACTTGTCACCCGCGGACAATTAGATTCTCCAATCCTTGTTTCATAACCTTCTGCTTTTGCTGTATCCACACAAACACTTTGACTGGAAACGACAGGCATTGACACATAGCCGACTCCGCCCATTTTCCTGGGGTTTGGCCAATATGACTGACACAGCGCCCACTTGGTTTCGGCGGGAATTTCGGAATTTCAAAATTTTTGCATTTCAGGACTGCTGCATGAAGCCCCGCCCACCGTGAGAGGCTTTCGCCCGCTTCCGGAGAAGCCCTGCCCACTTTTCGAAATGGTGCAAATCGGCAGTATAAGAGCCTTGGCTTGCATGCCAGGGTATTGCTGATCATTCGGAATAAACTTTGCCGGATTTTCTTGTTCCGAGCGACGAAACGAGACCCTAGCATGCAGCCAAGTCTGTATACTGCCGATTTTGAAAAGTGGGCGGAGCCTCTCATTGTGGGCAGGGCTTTCAGGCAGCAGTCCTGAAATGCAAAAAATTTTGAAATTGCCGAAATTCCGAGAAAAGCAAGTGGGCGTGGTCAGCCTAGATTGCCAAACCCTCTGTAAAATGGGCGGAATCGGCATGTGTCAATGCCGGTCGTTTCCGTCAGAGTGTTTGTGGGAAACAGCAAAAGCAGAAGTTATGAAACAAGATTTGTGAATCTCTGTCCCGGCTAACAAGTGGGCGTGCCGTCGGGCGGGCTCGCAGTGACGTCTGCGTGATCCGACTGATATGCCCGCCCTTAGTGCCGGTTAATTGATGTGAAAAGTGTGAGGCGCTGCATGATCTGAGTGATGATGCCCGCCCTTAGTGCAGTTGATTTGATGTGAAAAGTGAGGGTGAATTTGGTTGAAAAGATTTGAATTTGGTTTTAAAAAGGGTGAATTTGGTTTGAAAAAGGGTGAATTTAAAGTGAAAATGGTATATATACTTAGCCACTTTGTTGCCGTATTGTTAACCACTTTCAAATGGGAATATATCACCTTTTTTATTAGAAAGTCTACCGCAATTGGACGATGCCTGATTGGGTTACGGATCAGTTCTACAGCAACGTTCAAGACCTCACGGAACGGACAGCTGATTACGTCTTTGGGAACGGTACCGCTTCCGAACTTTCGTGAGCTTGAGATGTGTCCCAAAAATTCCTGAGCTGACTTGGCATCGCTTAATCAGGGTCAGTCACAATGACGGTGAATACCCAGCAGAGCAATGTCCTGTTATCAAGAAGAATGGAGCTACCGGAGAGCTCTTTCCTCATGAGGGGAGAGCTTTCCAGTAGCTCCCTTGACGGTGGGAGAAGAATAATAACAACTGAGATGACTTGAAAATTCTTTGGTAACTGAGTATGGCTTGAAGTTGTAAAACCAAACCGTCTCTCTTCCTTCTAGCCCTTGCTTTGTTCTATCTCGTCCTTTACAGCAACACTTCCTGAAAATCATCACTTCCTTTCAAATACTTGAAGCATTTTGTGCATCAAAACCCAGACCGACAAAGTGATACACCAATTTAGTAGTTTATACATCAGAAAAATATCCAAGAGCTTCAGCTAAGCCTCGATTCGTCACCCGCTCTATTTAGATCAAGTGGCACAATAAAGCGGCAAGGCATACAGAGTTGACACGCCTACACGATAGGATATTGTGCAGCTCCTTAGTAGGCGCTGGTGATGTCTTCTCCAACCAGAGGCACCGTTATAGCAGCAAACCGTGGTGCAGGTGCAACATGCTGACCCAGACGCCCACCGCAACTGCGCGCTCATAAATGACGGTACAGTCATATCGTCAGTGATATTTTTATTTATGAATAATTGATATGAAGTACACTCGGAATCCCTGAAATGGGGTGGGCGTGGCTGCGTACTTCAACTAAACATGGCCGTGATTGTGGTTTCGATAAGATATTTTCATTTCGAGAAAACTGCGATTTGTCCAACACAGCACAAGATGACATTTGTCTCGAGTTGGAAGATCCCGCGAGTACTCGTCTTATGCCGTGTCCAAACGCCACGCCCACTTCGTCTCAAGGATAAGGAGTCACATACTGTCCCTATCGAAGCGGTTGTTGGCACGACGTAGACGGGACTGCCGTGAGAACAATGGATAATATGCAGATTTCCGCCCGTTCGACTTCGCTTTTTCGTTTCCCTTTTTATAGCACCCCCCTGCTAGTTTTGAGAAAGTGCCAGACTATCGTGCCTTGTGCCCTTAAATATTTTGAATAGCCACAAACCATAGTTTACAGGAGATTTCGGAGAAGACGATGACACAGAAATCATTATGCTGAGAGGTGGATCACTTTTGAAAGAAATCCTCGACAATTTCCAACTGGTTACAAATGCGGCCTATGTCAAATACCACGCATATAGTGCTGTAAGTACAACACGCTTTGCAGCCTTCCTGGACCGCAGAATAGCTCTGTTTTTCAGCATGATCAAACTGTAGCCGCTCTTCTCAGGACCCTTGGAGCAAAGCTCAAGTTGATTGGGCACGATAATCCCCAGTACGCAGCGGTTGTTGTTTTTGAATTTTGGCAAGGTCCAAGTGGTTACTATATTAAGGTGAGAATTCAGGTGGACCAGAGTAAGTAGGTTCTGCTTGATGCCGGCTCACTTACATATTTTCAGCTCGTTTATTCAGCAGATGCGAACAGTGATTTTCGGGTAGTCACGAACCTTGTAGAAGGCTGTCCTGGGACAGATATATGTCCACTGGATGTATTCATTTCCAGGAGCAGGAAATATCTGCCCAAAGATATCTACTTGGTATGGCTCGCTTTACATTGGCATAAACATATTAGATCTAAGGGTTTTCTTCAGCAATGCAACAACATGCTATAGCGAATGTCAACAACTGGAGTACCTTTAATTCTTCGTCGTTCAGTAAACATCGAAAGATACGAATATTCATTACTGGATACGGTCACGTGCTGTGTAAATAATGTACACAATAAATACGAGCATCAAGTCTTCAGCATGAAGCAAAAATCTAACAATAATTATTGACTCAGTGCAGATTTCTCCCCACGCTTTTCAGTTGCTCATCCATTGGATATGCGAAGAGCCTCGAGCAATAGCCACTGTTCGAAGTAGCAAACACCGTAGCCAGGGCAAAGAACCTCTACCCCACGCTGGATCCGAACTCTGACCTCACGCTTATAGGGCGCTGCCCGTTGAACCTCTCTCGCAAGGAGGAACTTTCTATATATCAGGTCGTGCAAAAGAAATGCAGGATTTTGCTTCGCTGTGTATTTCATACTTACTTTATTCCAATAATTGTTACTTTAATAAGATAGTGTTATACCATGATAGCTCGCAAGATTGCGTTGTAATGTCATTTTTATTACAATTTTTTTGACATTTTATTGCAGACCAGTCGGCATCGCGCGCGCCTTCGCGGGCATCCTCCTTATGCGTGTGAAGTGGCCAGTCCCCGCCATCAAACTGAGGCCCAGTCGAATGGCCGCCTTCGGCGGGCGATCCTCCTTATGCGTGCTGAAGTGGGTCGCCCGGCCCATCCAAACTGAGGGCTAGTCGGATCACCCGCCTTCGGCGGGCGATCCTCCTTATGGCGTGTGAAGTGGGTCCCCGCCATCCAAACTGAGGCTCCAGTCGGATCGGCCGCCTTCGGCAGCGACGCCCCCTTCGCGGGGCGATCCTCCTTATGCGTGTGAAGTGGGTCCCCGGCGATCCAAACTGAGGCCAGTCGGATCGCCTGCCTCGCGGGCGATCCTCCTTATGCGTGTGAAGTGGGTCCCCGGCCATCCAAATGAGGCCCAGTCGGATCGCCCGCCTTCGGCGGGCGATCCTCCTTATGCGTGGTGAAGTGGGTCCCGCGGCCATCCACACTGAGGCCCAGTCGGATCGCCCGCCTTGGGGCGGGCGACGCCAGCCTTCGCGGCGGATCCTCCTTATGGCGTGTGAAGTGGAGCTCCCGGCCCATCCAAACTGAGGCCAGTCGGATCGCCCGCCTTCGGCGGCGATCCTCCTATGCGTGTGAAGTGGGTCCCCGCATCCAAAACTGAGGCCCAGTCGGATGCGCCGTCGGATCGCCCGCCTTCGGCGGGCGATCCTCCTTATGCGTGTGAAGTGGGTGCCCGGCCATCCAAACTGAGGCCCCAGTCGAATGGCCCGCCTTCGGCGGCGATCCTCGCTTATGCGTGTGAAGTGGGTCCCCGGCGCATCCAAACTGAGGCCTAGTCGGGAATCACGCCTGCCTTCGCGGCGATCCTCTCTTATGCGTGTGAAGTGGGTCCCGCGGCCATCCAAACCTGAGGCCCAGTCGGATCGCCCCGCCTTCGCAGGCGACGCCCGTCCTCGGCGGCGTATCCTCCTTATGCGTGTGAAGTGGGTCCCCGGCGATCCAAACTGAGGCCCAGTCGGATCGCCTGCCTTCGGCGGGCGATTCCTCGCGCTTATGCGTGTGAAGTGGGTCCCCGGCCATCCAAACTGAGGCCCAGTCGGATCGCCGCCTTCGCGGCGATCCTCGCTTATGCGTGTGAAGTTGGTCCCCGCGCCATCCAAACTGAGGCCCAGTCGGATCGCCCGCCTTGGGCGGCGACTCCCGCCTTCGCGGGCGATTCCTCCTTATGCGTAGTGAAGTGGGTCCGCGCCATCCAAACTGAGGCGCCAGTCGGATCGCCCGCCTTCGGCGGGCGATGCTCCTTAATGCGTGTGAAGTGGGTCCCCGGCCATCCAAACTGAGGCACAGTCGGATCGCCCGCCTTCGGCGGGCGATCCTCCTTATGCGTGTGAAGTGGGTCCCCCGGCCATCCAAACTGAGGGCCCAGTCGGATCGCGCCGTCGGATCGCCCGCCTTTCGGCGGGCGATCCTCCTTATGCGTGGTGAAGTGGGTCCGCCGCCATCAGAACTGAGGCCGGTCGGATCGCCGCCTTCGGCGGGCGATCCTCCTTATGCGTGTGAAGTGGGTCCCCGGCCATCCAAATTGAGGCTCAGTCGGATCCCCGCCCTTCGGGCGGCGATCCTTCCTTATGGTGTGAAGTGGGTCCCCGGCCCATCCAACTGAGGCCCGCAGTCGGATCGCCCGCCTTCGGCGGGCGATCCTCCTTATGCGTGTGAAGTGGGTCCCCGGCCATCCCAAACTGAGGCCAGTCGGATCGCCCGCCTTCGGCGGGCGATGTCCTCCTTATTGCATGTGAAGTGGGTCCGCCGGCGATCCAAACTGAGGCCAGTCGCATCGCTGCCTTCGGCGGGCGATCCTCCGTATGCGTGTGAAGTGGGTCCGCCGGCCATCCAAGACTGAGGCCCAGTCGGATCGCCCGCCTTCGGCGGCGATCCCTCCTTATGGCGTGTGAAGGGGTCCCCGCCATCAAACTGGAGGCCCAGTCGGCATCGCGCCGGTCGGATCGCCGCCTTCCGGCGGGCGATCCTCCTTATGCGTGTGAAGTGTGGAGCCCCGGCCATGCCAAACTGAGGCCTCAGTCGACTCGCCCGCCGTCGGCGGCGATCCTCCTTATGCGTGTGAAGTGGGTCCCCGCCATCAAATTGAGGGCTCAGCGATCGCCCGCCTTCGGGGCGATCCTCTTTAGCGTGTGAAGTGGGTCCCGGCCCATCCAAACCGGAGGCGCAGTCGGATCGCCCGCCTTCGGCGGCGATGCCTCCTTATGCGTGTGAAGTGGGTCCGCCCGGCGCATCCAAAACTGCGGCCCAGTCGGATGCGCCCGCCTTCGGCGGCGCGAATCGCTCCTTAATGGCATGTGAGTGGGTCCCCCGGTCCGATCCAAACTGAGGCCAGTCGGATCGCCCTGTCCTTCGGCGGGCGTCCTCCTTATGCGTGTGAAGTGGGTCCCCGGCCATCCAAACTGAGGCCCAGTCGGATCGCCCGCCTTCGGCGGGCGGATCCTCCTTATGCGTGTGAAGTGGGTCCCCGGCCATCCAAACTGAGGCCCAGTCGGCAATCGCCCGCCTTGGGCGGCGACGCCCGCCTCGGGGGCGATCCCTCCTTATGCGTGTGAAGTGGGATCCCCGCCATCCAAACTGAGGCCCAGTCGGATCGCCCGCCTTCGGCGGGCGATCCTCCTTAATGCGTGTGAAGTGGGTCCCGGCCATCCAAACTGAGGCCGCAGTCGGATCGCCCGCGCCTTCGGCGGGCGATCCTCCTTATGCATGTGAAGTGGGTCCCCGGCGATCCAAAACTGAGCCCAGTCGGATCGCCTGCCTTCGGCGGGCGATCCTCCTTATGCGTGTGAAGTGGTCCCCGGCCATCCCAAACTGAGCCCAGTCGGATCGCCCCGCCTTGGCGGGCCGACGCCCGCCTTCGGCGGCGGCATCCTCCTTATGCGTGTGAAGTGGGTCCCGGCCATCCAAACTGAGGCCCAGTCGGATCGCCCGCTTCGGCGGGCGATCCTCCTTATGGTGTGAAGTGGGTCCCCGGCATCCAAACTGAGGCCCAGTCGGATCGCCCGCCTTCGGCGGGCGATCCTCCTTTATGCGTGTGAAGTGGGTCCCCGGCCATCCAAACTGAGGCCCAGTCGGATCGCCCGCCTTCGGGCGGCGATGCCTCCTTATGCGTGTGAAGTGGGTCCCCGGCCATCCAAACTGAGGCCACAGTCGGATCGCCCGCCTTGGGCGGGCGACGCCGCCTTCGCGGGCGATCCTCCTTATGCGTGTGAAGTGGGTCGCCCGGCCATCCAAACTGAGGCCCCAGTCGGATCGCCCGCCTTCGGCGGCGATCTCCTTATGCGTGTGAAGTGGGTCCCCGCGCCATCCAAATGAGGCTCAGTCGGATCGCCCGCCTTCGGCGGCGATCCTCCTTATGCGTGTGAAGTGGGTCCCCGGCCATCACAAACTGAGGCCGCAGTCGGCATCGCCCGCTTCGGCGGGCGATCCTCTTATGCGTGTGAAGTGGGTCCCCGGCCATCCAAACTGAGGCCCAGTCGGATCGCCCGCCTTCGGCGGTCGATCCTCCTTATGCATGTGAAGTGGGTCCCCGGCGCATCCAACTGAGCCCAGTCGGATCCCTGCCTTCGCGGGCGATCCTCCTTATGCGTGTGAAGTGGGTCCCCGGGCCATCCAAACTGAGGCCCAGTCGATCGCCCGCCTTCGCGGGCGATCCTCCTTATGCGTGTGAAGTGGTCCCCGGCCATCCAAACTGAGGCCAGTCGATCGCCCGCTCTTGGGGCGGGCGACGCCCCGCCTTCGGCGGGCGATCCTCCTTATGCGTGTGAAGTGGGTCCCCCGGCCATCCAAACTGAGGCGCCAGTCGGTGCGCCCGCCTTCGGCGGGGCGATGCCTCCTTATGCGTGTGAAGTGGGTCCCGGCCATCCAAACTGAGGCCCAGTCGGATCGCCGCCTTCGGCGGGCGATCCTCCTTATGGTGTGGTGTGAAGTGGGTCCGCCGCCATCCAAATTGAGGCTGCAGTCGGATCGCCCGCCTTCGGCGGGCGATTCCTCCTTATGCGTGTGAAGTGGGTCCCCGGCCATCCAACTGAGGCCCAGTCGGATCGCCCGCTTCGCGGGAGCGATCCTCCTTATGCTGTGTGAAGTGGGTCCCCGCCATCCAAACTGAGGCCCAGTCGGATCGCCCGCCTTCGGCGGGGCGATCCTCCTTATGCATGTGAAGTGGGTTCCCGGCGATCCAAACTGAGGCCCAGTCGGATCGCCTGCCTTCGGCGGGCGATCCTCCTTATGCGTGTGAAGTGGGTCCGCCGCCATCCAAACTGAGGCCCAGTCGGATCGCCCGCCTCTCGGCGGGCGATCCTCCTTATGCGTGTGAAGTGGGTCCCCGGCCATCCAAACTGAGGCCCATCGGATCGCCCGCCTTGGGCGGCGACGCCCGCCTTCGGCGGCGATCCTCCTTATGCGTGTGAAGTGGGTCCCCGCATCCAAATTGAGGCTCAGTCGGATCGCCCGCCTTCGGCGGCGATCCTCCTTATGCTGTGAAGTGGTCCCCGGCCGCCATCCAAACTGAGGCCCAGTCGG